ATTAAGCTATTAATAAATTAAGAAAGTCGTTTACTTTTAGCATTATGAAAGTGTGTAATTTCTGATTAACTAAATGTTATCATCAAATTTATACAAGCTACGAATTTAGTTTTGTATAGAATCAAATTACAACAACTTTTTGGATGTTAAGTAGTTGTACATATTTATTTTTCACATTAAACTCGTGTTAATTTGCCTCTTAAATCTAAACTAATCGTAGCAACATAAATACGGCGATTAAACAACACTGGCCGACTGTCTGGAAACTAAAAATCGGGAATGTGGCGCATAATTGCGCGCTGGGCGTTCGTCGCAGTGCACCCGAGTTCTTGAGTGCAACAGTGCAATGCAGTCGATATTTTGCTGGAATCACCACGGCCGCAACGTAAACTCGGCGTCGACGCACGGCGCAAAAGCTCGCCGGTATTGTTTTTATGTAATTTAATTATACTCGAAAAGCTTTATTTTAATTTGCATTAAATTACATGGAATTAGCAACGAACAAAACGGCAAAGCAAACGCAACAAAGAGAATAAGTGGATGCGCTATACTTTCTTCAAACAGAAAATAAAATTTAATAATATTAATAAAAATACAAGTACAAGGATTAAATGCACTCTACATTAAATATTACCATAGGTTAGGATTGCGTTTGATGTATTGCATGACGTACATTTTTAATTTTCCATTAATAATGAATTGAAATGGCGTTGGCTGACATTTCGCGCAACTGGGGACACTGAAGTATCAAATTGTGTGCGTGTGAGGTTGCATATCGCGATCGAAAATCGAACAACCGCTGCAAACTCGGCGATAAATAAATACAAAGTAGACAATTGGGTTTTATCGCGCGTTTTCCATCGCGGTGTGGAAAATGAACCGAAATAGGAATACCAGAATTTTAGTATGAAACTGCACTCATAATCTGCCATCAAAATAAACCAACTGGTTGCTATATTTAAATACAAACAAGTATAAAAATTGCAGAAACCAAAGCAAATGAAATTATAAAAAGTTTTGAGCGTTTTATTTAAGTTGCTGGAAGCTCAACTCTCTTAACTGTCGCTAGCAGTGCAATTTTTAATGTCTTAACGAAACTTTCTCAACTGTAACTTTGTGTTTTTTTCTGGTGAGATTTAAGCAACGAGTAAGTTTAAAGTTAAACATTTTGAACATGTAATAATGACCTCCGGATGGTACGAAAATTAAGAGAAGATTTTCATAGATTAAAATTTAACAAACTTAATTAGCAAGAAATAAAATAAAACTAAACTGAAGATTAAAACACGTTAGACACAAAAAATGTGCATGTTTAAACGAGTGTCTTTCCATTTCGGGAGTCAGCAGTAGCGTTTTTTCATTAAAAAGTCAAAAATATTTTAATGATTAAAACCGAGAAGCGAGGGTTGAAAAAGCGCACGAGGGCGAGACATGAATTAAACATGAGCAAATTCGCACGCTGTTATTAGTAATATTTAAATAAGACGATTTGCATATTTCTTATCTCATCTGCACCCAAGATCGTCGCGCGATCTTTTGCTTCAAACCAAAAACAGGACTTACCAAAACGCAACCAGAGAGCAATGCAAATGTGCAAATAGTTTAAATTTTTTACAACCACATGTTTTTATACTTTGAAAACATACACGTGTGTATATTGGGTTGCGTTGTTTGGTTATACCAATCAGCATTTTAATAGCGGACCGAGATCAATTCAACGGACAGTTTTGATTGAAATAAATGGCAAAACAATTCGTCGCATTAGCGCGGCGGCAGCGGCGGCGGCCATTAACGACACATGCATAATTTATTCGTGCGCAGCGCGAATCGCAATTGAATTAACGAGGCATCTGCGCGCCGCATCGTTTACGAAGGTGCAGCCAGTGCGCGTACACAACAACCACCCGGTCGAATGCAATTTGTTACTCGCCGGTTTTCCTCTTTGTGCGATGCGTGTTTTCAAACACGTATAATTTCGCGTCGATTTCGAGCTAAGGGAGTTGCACCCCAACATAAATTACGCGAAATTGCTTTGACCATCGGGTATACTAATCTGAGAACTTGTTCAATTAATTTCACACATTTCAAGTAAACTACGTATAACTATTATTGTTTATAATATGCATTAAAAGCAATAGAGTTTAAAGCGAATAATTTACAACGAATAAACTGTGTAATCTTTTAAAGCAATTTAATTAAAGAAATTAACTCGACAAGACTTTGCACACACAGACAGAGGAAGGGAAAAAAAGTTGTCGCCCCAAGCATTTCCACCTAAGATCCGGCCACGAAACCTCGTTTAGAGCTCAGAGCACACCAGTACAACACAATTAACTAACGAAAGGATGAAAGTAAAAGAAAAACGCCTTCAAGCACCCGCAAGCCACAAAAAAGCGCGCCTTTCTCTTAGTTCTTCAAATAAGGATAGAAACAGTTCGAATTGAGGAGCTTGCCCAAAGAGTACAAGACATTGTTAACGAACACACATTCGAGGGCGAGTAAAAGTCTATAAGAAAGCGGATTTGGACAACTTTCGTCGGCGAGCGAGAAAACTGGAGCAACTCCTTCCAACAACGGAAGTTATACTCGCGTCGCCCACTAACTTGTCAACCCTTTTGTAAATATCAGCAAATTAGATTGCGACTGGGCTCGGACCTTCGACTACTTAATTAAATTTTCGAAGGCGCGCGCGCTTCTCGCCCGCCATACACATACACAGGACAAACATTAACTTTTTACTCAGTATCTCATAAACATGCAGTAAACTTACAACCAACTTGCAGACAAGTTTTATGCCACTGTGTTTATAACACATACTGTAATTGTAATTAATTTATCAAGTTCTCGGTTTGATTTTAATTAAAATTTAACTCGATTGTTAGCAATTATTCAGTGTTTTGAAGTTGATGGCGCCACTTAAATGGCGTGCATTATGCATCATTAGACTGGGGCGCTATTTGCATAAAATATTCGGGGCGTATTAGGCATTCATCAATGTAGGGGAAGCATTACTATTAAACGTCAGCGGTCGCATTAATATTGCAATGCCAATTCGTGAGGTGAGATGATGGGCGAAGAAAGGGATGCCTCAAGGGTGGAAACCTCAACATCCACCACCGGACCGGTTTCGGTCTATAGGGAAAACCACAGCTTTCATTATTCAATATAATAGAAAGTTTCATATAACATTTATAATTGCGCATGCGTAGCAGGAGGATTTAAAAAAAATATTCGTGGGTTGGCAACACGAACATTCACTTTTGTGCGCGCGAGCAATGGCCGAACGCATTGCGCTAGCGGGAGCTAAAATATGGGCAATTAAGAATATTAATTGTTCCCTATACTGTGCTCGGCGTTCACTCCGGCTGCTGGCAATAATACGTGAAATGTCCACGCGCGAACATTCAATGAAAAGCTCGTGTGCGGGACACAGGCCGCGAAACTGGACGAAATCGAGTGAACGTGTACGCATTCATTCCGGAAAAACCATGGCGCATAAAACAGGCGAAAACCACAAAACCCTAAAATAATACGTATAGAGTTATACAACTCCAAAGAGATATACTGCCGTTAACAATTTATGACAAAATAAACTTTTCAAGAATCCACACAAAAAGGTTCACGACTTTTTACCGAAATTTGGTTTGAAATGTTTCAAAACTAAATTTTATTTCCTATAATTCTGTTTGAAATTAATTAATTACCTCTGATTATTGCTAATCTACACACGTGTCACCGGGTGTGCTTTGGTGTTAAGAGCGTATGAGTTGCGCCTCGAGCATCATCCTGGAAAGCTTGATAAGCTTAATCAACCGTTTTTACTCCTGTCGAGGCCGTGTACGTGCCTTCTGCAAAATATTGAAGATAGATGCACAAGCAAACATTTTTAAAAACATTTCAATAGTCATTTTTATTTTGTAAAATTTTACAACCTTTTATTCATTGCAAATTGGTTTTATTAAAAATTAATTAAGATGCAATCATAAGAGACAATCATAATTATACTCGTTAAAATTGTAATTTGTTATGCTACACCAATTTAATCGATTTAATTAAATAAACATAAATCACTTTTTATGTGAACATGTTTTTAATTAAACGAAATACACTCACTATAAATATAGTAACAATAAGAATAATCGGTTTAGTTACGCCACAACAATGAAGCGAATCATAATATCTCTCCTGGTTGAGGCTGCGTTAATAATGTTAACCCATGCGAGGGTTACAACTCAATTAATTGCAAAACCATATGGTAAACATGTGAAAGAGTTTAAACTACGTGTGAAAGACGGACGCATCCGCCACTTGAGTAGTGACAGAGGCACTTTTATAAACAATCATCAACCTGAAGAGGCTTATTATGATGACAAATATCAAGGCTTTGAATATTTGGATCCTGTAGTGCCATCTGATATAGGCAGCAGCAGCAGCGACAGTATCGACATGTTAAAACAAGATATTCCTAGGATGATTGACAATCTTAAAGTTTTGAACGAAGAAATAATAGAATACGAACTTGATAAACATTTTGATGATCCTGAGGAATTGGCGCCTCTACCAATTCCTGTTTATAAAATGGTAAAATCATCCTCTCCGACCAGAGAAGAACTGCTTCAGATGAAAAGATTGAATATGGATGCAAGAACTAAAAATAAGTATATCAGAAATAACAGAGTGATGAGTTACTAAGTTTGAGATTTTTTGTCGAGCGATTAAATGAATAATTAAATGCAATTCAAGTAATTTATATCGTTCGTGTTTGTAACAAATGATCCCTTTATTCAATCAGTCCTTTAAACAGTTAAACGTAAATCAAAGTTAACGATTTCGGGATATCCGTCATTACCTGCTTCTTCAATGCATTATAATATCATTAAGTTGAATTAACCTCATGTTCTGCTAGTTTTGTGCAAAATTTTTGCATTTAATTTAATTGCCTATTGTTGACCGTCGCGTATATATATTGTATGTCTCATGGTTGCTTTACGACACTTGTAAATGTCAGAAATCAATATGTTTAGTTTGGTCTTGTTGTTGACCATTGTTTTGGCCTTGCATAGTGAGGCTTATGGCCGTCACAGACCACTGCCTTGGGGACAAAGTGGATTTAATCGTGGTTATTTTGGACATCCAAAAAAACGAAGCGTTTCGCCTGTACATTCGGAGCCTCTTTCATGGACACCGGATTTGAACAAAAGCAACGCACCTGATTTTCACGCATCTTTGGAAAAAATTGATGCATTGTTTGATCCTCCAACGGAAGTTGAAGCTAAGCGGAAAGCTAAGGCGAGGAAGAATTCTTTCGTGCTGAACCAAATATTTTTAAATGATAAAAATAGTAAAAATAAACGTTTTACTCGAAATATTGACAAAATCGAGCGGGATGTACATCGAGTAACTAAAAAACTTGAACTTTTGAAGTACCAACTTATTCTAATGAATCAACCACCCGGCGACAATTCAATGAACTATATGATGGATCCTAGTGGACGATCCAACAACGTATATCCAGAATTTATCAATCCAGATTTTGATTTTAATCAAATGCATGATAGTGCATATGATCATGATCCGTACGATCTAAGCCAACTTTATCGGGAATTCAATGGATATGCATCACAACCATATCCAAATGTACTAAATTATGAGGATTACGACGATAGTTATTCAGACCCAAATTACGATTTCAATCCGGCATTTGTTCTTCAGTCCATGGATACTGAAAATCAAGGAAATCATCCGAATTTTGATCAAGGGACCACACAGGGCTTTATGCCACAACCTACAACTAGGCCAGAGGTAAATCCAACATCATTACAATATCGTTTCCAAGAGCCAGAAAAAAAGGCCCCATCACTTGCTTATATGGTTAAAACAGAGAGTGACAAGCAGGAGGACTCTCCCGAAGGTTGTGAAAATTTCCAATAAAATTTTTGGTTGACATTATTTTTTATTTCTAGGTTGTTCCATTTGATTATCAAATATGATATCTATACTTTTATGTTTTATCTATTTTGACTGACACTCTGATGCTGATCCGGCGTTTAAACTTGCTCTTCTCTACAAATAAATAATCTCAAGCATTAGTTACATAGCATATTCTAATAAATGCAACATCTACAAATGCGCGTATTAGTTAATATAGGCAACCACATATGCCGACGTTCGGTAAAATGCAAAAGTGCAAGCATTGCAAATCGCTTACGTGTGCCACGCACAAAATAACTTTACATTACTAGTGTGGTAAATGAGTTGCTGCGCATGCGCATAAACTTTACCATGATTTTATTTCAAAATAATATCTAAATGTAAATGTGTACGTGAAAATTCTAATGAGATGTAAAAGATAAGATTCCCGCTTGTGCAAATTTGTTCGCAGGAATATCCGAATGATTTACGTGATTTATTATCGCCGTACATGCGTTTTGCGGCGAATGCGCGCGCGTGTTCGGCGTTCAACTCGCAAATTAATAATAACTTCGTAATTCGTTATTCCGTTCGGCGAAAACCGAAAACCGAAACCGAACACACCGAACCGGTGAGTTATGGCGTGCCCACAACCCAAGTTTTTGTCATTGCGCAAGCAAAGCTTCCTAATTTGACTAATTCCTGCTTTTTTGTATGTGATAACGTACATAAGCGACGTTATCTGATATTACACACATACGATGTATACAAAAACATATGCTGCGGACGATAAATTACCTTCGATATTAAACAATGAGCTCGATTAATTGAGGCTTACCTGAAACAAAAACAAAATCATTCAATTAATAAAGATAAAAACAAATGAACTGGAATGAATAATATGTATATGGATTATTGATGATATTATTCAGCATCTTAGTATGTAATTTTTTGTTTTATTTCACGTTATTTTTTATCATTTTACGTTTTTTTTTATTATTTTCCAATTTCACGCTGTTCTTCCTTATGGATTTCGTTTTCTATTCTTCAGGCTGCATTTAATCCTTGGCTGCAGCCGGATGACAATGCGAATATGTGCGAAAATTCTATGAATATATTTATGAATGCATTTGGTTGAAAAATAGTGATTTCACATATCTGTAGAATACAAAAACTATATTGGATTTGGGGCCGTTGGGAGGGGAGGTTAACTGGGGTAAATTCCCCGGGGCCCGGCTGATCGCTCTTAAATCGCAAACACAAAAAATATAGCACATAATTAACGATTAGTATTAACGAAAATTGTAAAATAGACATATATTGGTTATTTCTATAGCTATCAGTAAGCGCAAGCATTCGACACAAGAATTGTGTTTGTTTTGAACACAACTAACACATTCTTATCGCATTCGCCGCGAGAATGCAACGCATGAGATCCCCTCACGTCGCATGTTGGCGCATCTTAGTTTAGTTTAGATCGCAGGTTGCGTGCTAAAGCGATTCGCGCACAAGGTCGCGTGCCTTCGACGCACTGGCTTTGCGCATCTATTGCTTTCTTATCACAAACTGTCGCGTCGTTGCTTGCACAGTTTTCAGCCAGTTTCGTGCCGGTCTCTGGTTCATCCAGACGTATTTTACGCGACTCGTATTGTTTGTCCAGATATCTACTTTCCAAATTCGCATTATATTTGATCATCAATCGACTATAGTAATGTTATTTACCGTTTGCGCGTTTATTGTCCATAAATGCCGGTTAAGTGTATCGCCCCCATGTTGATTTGATTTTTATCATTAGGATGATCCATCGTGGTAGTGTAGGTTACATTTAACTGAACAGCACAGATTGTTTGTTTTTTACCGCTGTGTGGTTATAATATTACTAAATTGTATTAAAAGTTTTTATTTTAACATATCTCTTCTTTATTTATTTACAGTATTTGCCGTGGACTCCAACCATGAGTTCTGCATTGGTAAGTTTATAATTCAATTATATCTTTCATTTTAATTTCTGCGTTCCCCATCAGTTTGTATTTAAGTTGTTCTGATTTATCGTGTTATCGTGTTGCAAATATATAAGATAGTCGCGTACTCGGCTGATACATCTCAAAATTAACTTTTTAGTTTTTCCTTCGCTTACAAAAGCGCAAGAGTTGTAGGTACTTGATGATGCAATTCAGCGGAATTCCGTCTTAACCATCCCTATACAATTTTCTCTCGTTTATTTTTTTAATTCCAATTATGTCAGATTAAAAATTCTAAATCTTTAGAAAATTTTCTATAAGATAAGGTATTCAAATTGAGAAAATAAGAGAGGTCGAGAATAATTTATAAATAAAAATTTTCTAAGGACAATTCTTGTTTCATCTCACTGAGAGGTTTTTCATTTTTAGGAGAATTTTGAAAATTTGTTTATTTTTATTTACAGTACAATTCATATATTGGACTAGCATCAACTGAAAATTGCTTATTTATCAACGTTTGTGTACAAACAACATTTTTGTGTCGCGTTGCCATCTGCTCATATCGCATGTAGTATATTTTAGTTTACTTTAAATATCATATACCCCACGAAATAAATTTTTAATTTTTACCTGCTAAAGAATTTTCCAATTTTTCATAATCAACAATTCGTTGGTAGCTATTGCTTTTGGTTTGAGAGATATTAATTATCAAATATCGTCGAAAAAAAGTATGCCCCCCTCGGCAATATTTTCTTAAGAATTGAAATTTCATCTCTCTGATTTCCGTTTTAACTATTCTATAGAGAATAGTCCGTAGATTAAGACGCTGCGATCAGATCCTATTTATCTCTTTTAGTTTACGAGATATTCGCGTTTGAATAAAATGGGCAAAAGTTGAAGAATGTCATTTTATAGCACTTTTGGTCCCGTTTTTGACTTTTGACTGTAAGAAATATAATTATTTTATATTTTTATCTGATAGAGAATTTTCCAATCTTTCATAATCAACAATTCGTTGGTAGCTATTACTTTTGGTTTAAGAGATATTAATTATCAAATATCGTCGAAAAAAAGTATCAAGCAAATGTGCAAAAATTGAAAAATGTCACTTTAGCACGTTTAGTCATGTTTTTTGACCTAATACGACACTTTTTGTGCGTTTCTAATGGTCATGTTAAAGTTTAAGAGACGCTCTACATATTAATTGACAGTATGTACTGCATACAAAAGTCGTAACACGTGGAAACATTAATTAATGATTGTAATAGTCTTAATTGTGGGACTAGTCTTGTATCTGTCGCATTCATAGGATGCACTAATAATCATTAAATCGAGTTATATGTTTTATTTTTATATTTATCGACCAACGTGGGCACGAGAACAGTTCTGTATACAATGCTGTTATCTGCGATTCGATTTAAACAACGTTTTTAACGCTTGTGTGTCGCGCGCTGTCTCCTAGCGTCGCATCAACTTGCTGCATGCAGCGAAGTCTAGTTTAGTTTAGATCACAGGTAATGTAGTACCTATTGCAAATTCGCGCACAATGTCGCGTGCCTTCGACGCGTCGTCTTTGCGCACCTCTTGCTTTCTTATCATATACTGTCCCGTCGTTGTTTACGCAGTTTCGGCATGCACTATCGGTGGATTGCAGCCAGTTTTGTGCCGGTCGCAGGTTCGTCGTGTTTCATATCGTTTATTCGGACTTCAATATTGCAAATTTGTGTTATACTCGAAGATAAGTCGACTATTTATTTGTGCTTTGCGACTATAGTAATTTGTTTAATGTTCGGAAATGCTGGTTTTTGATCGCGTTTGTTATGTATTTTACTACTTATTGTGATAGTGGATTCGATAACATTCTTTACTCGGCGTTGTGTTTTGTGTCGGTTACTAAATTAATCGGAAATATATCGCCCCCATGTTGATTCTCATCATTACGAAAGATCCAGAAGGCTCGTGTAAGTATTTTTTAACTAAACAGCATTGATTGTTTATTTTGTATTGATTTTTAATTATAACATAATTCAATTGTATGAAATATTTTTGTTTTAATTTACGTTTTCGTTTAGTTACAGCATTCGTTGAGTCTGGCTGTCCGATAAGCTGTACGAGTACACTGGTAAGTTTATAATTCAATTATATTTTTCGGTCAAATTTTATCGCGTATTACCTCCCACATTGGATTGAGCATTGAATTATCTGATAATATCTGTTTGGGCAAAATATCCAATAGAATAAGTTTGAATTCAAGATTAAAGAAAGTGTGAACTCATCGCTTTTATTCTGTCACTTTTTTAAGGAAGAGTTTGTGGCAAACCCACAAAAGTACAAACTCATCGATCTCGGACCATTCTAACGCGTAACTCGACGCAAAGAAAAATACAGAAAGATGATGGCTAAAAACCTTAAATATTTACCTTTCATATGAAAGGCGAGGAAAACTTGCTCCAACTTTTCGTACCAAGTTTTTCTTTTCATTTGGCCTGAATCTAGTTTGATTCTACTTTTGTTTTTTTACTCAGCATTTCTTTCTTTGCGCTTTTTTCGATCGTTTATTATGTTTTTATGTCGCGCCAAGTTTACACTCAGTTTAGTTTTGTTTAGTTTACTTTATAAATGTGGGCATAAACATAATATTTACGGATTTAATATTAAACTTTTGATAATTAATATTCGAAGTATGAATTTATTTTAGTCTAGAATTAATTTTCGCTCGATTTATGCTTGCTTTCAATTATAGATTTTTTTTGTTCGATTTCTCATCAGCCATCTGTTTTCAATCTCGGTTAGGTCTCTTTTTATGATCCTCATCGGATTTTGCCCACGTTGAAGTGAACAGTTGAATTAGACATGACCGACACGATAATACGTGCGCGCAGCGAGCCCGTCTAGGATTTCGGATTAGTTCAGAAAATCGCCTTCATACTACAACATACAGTGTGTTTAAAATTTTCCACCTATATAACTTTACTCACTATAAAAATCACCAAAATAATTTTAAGTAATTTTTAAGCAATACTTGAATAATGACCTAAATTTTTACCGATTGGATTGCATGTCCTTGTCCACCTGCCTCACAACTCTTCTATCTATTGATAGTCACACCAGAAAAGTTGTAAGGTTAGATGGGAAAAATGCGGAAAAAGAACGAAGCGAAATGAATTGGACATTGACAGGTCGTCGTTGCTGCCGGACACGTCGGGGGGATTAACCCCAGAGTCTCTGATAGTGGGGTGGAGGCTGCGATTTATTGAATCCTTGAATCCTTGCCAGTTCTGGCCGTAGCACAACGGATCAAACCGGTGTAGGCCATAGGCGGAATCAGCGTCTGTGGACGAAAGGGCGGGATGGAGGGTGATTGCTAGTAGCAATATATTCGCGAGTTGCCCTTTTTTAGATTATAGCAGCCGGGAGAAGAGCAAAAAATAGAAGTGGAGCCAATTGAGTGATTTTCTACTTAAATCTAGTTCTGGTGCGGGAAAAAAAGCGCCAAGAAGTTCATTTAGTATCGGTTACTCAGAAAAAATGTAATGTCCAATAAGAACGTTTTTTTTATTGTTTTTGTCGTCTGGGATTTTCATTAACGGAATAATTAATTGTTATGTTTTGACATTCTTGTCTAGACTGGAGCAAATTAATTTGTTTTTCTTTGAGCAATAGAAGGTGAAACCTTAGAAAAAATCTTGAAAGTCATTTTAATATGCGTATTATTCCCCGGTGAGGAAAATTTGGAACTGTTCAAGGACTTCCAGCCCTACGTCAATTTAGTTTGCTTGGCCCCGGCTTCCGTGTTCCGGGGTCTCTCTATTCAAATCCAGCGCACTTATCGTCTGTGTTCTCGCGACGAGTGCGTTTCGAATGTTGGGCAAAGTTAGTTCAAGTCGAGTTGATCAACTGCAACTCGGCCTGAATATCGTTCGTGTTTCTGCTGTTTGGGAATTGTACCACTGCAAAATCTGGAATATACGAGAACACCAGCCGCGTTCGGTTAGATTTTAACGCTTGTTCCTCCGATGTGAAAATAATGACCCGTAAAAAGCTTTTAAACTGTACAAACTAACAGCGACTGCATCGAAACAATAATTGATATGTTAGTTAACGAATTTTGTTGGTTTAATTGCAAACCAAATTTAGTAGTGTTGGTTTTTTTTGTTTTTGTTAAGTTTTGCAACCGCTGTGTAAACTAGTAATATTTGTAGTCGCATAAAATACGCGTATGTATTCAAAGGTGTCGCCGCCCCCGAAAAGTTTCCAACTATCCGCAATAAATAATTCAGGCGGCGGCACTCGTCCGCCCGCGCGCGGAGGACAAACGACTTTGCACACTGGCAAACGTGCGACAAATTTTGAATCGCGCAGAATGTGAACATATGAAAATTCGAAACATAAATATGAAACTTTTGCCAAATCACCAACCGCACGGAATGGTCAGACACAGCTAACCGGTTTAAAAGTATGTTCTAACAAAAATATTACAATGTTGTTAACGAGTTGTAACTTTCAAACAGCAAACATCAAAGTTTTAAACATTTCCCCCAAATAATCTCACGCAAAAAAACTGTTTTTATATTTTTACATGGAAAAAATACATCGTTAGATAAAGAGCTGAAGCGTAAAGTTAGTGCTTACATAATGAAAGTGTCTAAGATGGCGCGATAGCATCCTGGATGCCGTGAAAAGAGCATCAGCATAACGGTATTAAAGTAATTTTCCTTGCGCGTTCCTCGTCGAGTGCCAAGAGAAGCAAAGAAGGCAGAGAGAAAACTGCAGGTGTGGCAAATTATGCGGTGTCTTGTACGTTTTGTTACCACCACCAACCAAACATTCCTGCGGCTGTGTATTCTCTATTATGCTCGTTTAACTCGACTTTAAAATATCTCGTTAAATTAAAGATTTACATTTTTTACAATGTCATTACGACCAAAAACAAACTTGCGACGTGACCAAGTTGAAATTGTTTTGATCTTAGATGACAAAACTTATCACAGTCTGCTGTGCGGGACTGGTTGATGGTTCGTGACATACCATGATAACACTCAGTGACAAATTGTGCGTGACTGCGTGTCCTCGGGTCGGTCGTCCCAAAACTCAAAATTATCTCCACGCGCAACTTTTTGTTCCCGGCGTGCCTGTTTAACTTGTGCGTCGTCCGCAAATTTCCGACGATAATCCTGTGGTAAGCTCCTCTGCAGGCGCTGTTTTTACAGCACATGCAAACTGTGTGCGAAAAGTTCGGGCTGATCAAAAATTCATTAAGGACGACGGTCGAGCAAAGTCAGGCGACATAAACGAACAGCGAATTCAGTTGTTGAGTGAAGTGGACTTTTTGGGAGTTTATTAACACTTTGAGAAGGTGTTACCCGCCACATTCTTTAATATTCCATCCAATTATGTTAAGTTTTAAAGAATATTCCATGCTAAAATTGCGCTGCCGCCAACAAACATCGAAGTAAAACTTGTGGGAAATAAATTTCGACCGTTTAAAATTAAGTGCTTTTTAAAATTTTAATGAAGCAAACATTTCCACTATCTGAATATTTTATGCACTTCCATGCCACTGTAAATATCGGCCATTTATTCAACTCAAACATTAATTCCAACGCTCGCCCAGCAGTCTCGGCGCTTTTATGATGACTTATATAAGTTATAACTCAACGTGCATACACACACGAGTACCTGCTTCCCAGGAAGATATAAAGACGTAAAGATGTGTATGGTGAGGATGTGAGACCCGAGCTTTCTGTCGGTCGGTGGGGTGGAAACTTAGCGCGAATCGCGCCTCTCGTTAATTAGTTCGCATCGGTCGTGCGCGTGCTTGAAAGCGAATGCAGCGCAAAGTTGCAAGTCGGACCAAATTCCGCGCAGCGAAATCCAAGTTCCCGTCGAGCTGGAAAGGCTTGAAAGTTGTAATTACTCGACGAATCTCAACCTGAACGTTCTAAACGCAAATAGACCCAGACCCATGATGCACGGAGATGTGGGACGTCGTTCATCATAGTCTATTACTTTTTCGATATTTAGTTTCGAGCACATTTTGCAACTTTCAATATTTTTTCGTCTTTTTGATTTTTTTTTTATTTTTGTGGGAAATAAAAGGTTTTTCTTTTTCTTCCGGTGACTTGTAGTAAGATGTTTGTGAAATGTAGCAAAAGCGGTAGTTGGGTTTTGGGATTGGGTTCGAATTGGTTGCATTATTGATCAAATGTACTGATAGATTATTCCGGCGGTACGTGGCGGCCCACCCCGGGAACGGAGTTTCGCGCGGAAGCAGCGATAGCGCGCCGCGCCAGCCGGCAACCGACGCAGACATTTCGGTTTATTTACGAGCCGCCGCCGTTGCCGCCGCCGCGTTACCACCGCGCGCTGTTTCGTACGATCTATCAGTTGACGTTATGAATGAATCTCTTGAGGATATCGAAGCAGCCGCCAACCAACTAGCACCGGCCAGAACAAACACATCTCCCAGACACAAACCCACCAAACCGGAAGTCTAATGTTCAAGGACAGATACGGACACACACAGAAATTATTTACTAGTTAGGTTATGTGATGGTTTGGCAAAAACCCCAGTTAAAACCTGCTTAACTTTGAACCTTGAAATCTGAAGCAGACATGCATAAAAAGCAATTTCCTTCAGAATCCTTCACTCATTCCCTTATCATCAGCCTTGGTTGCCTACAAGCGCACATTTTCATTGTTCGCACAACATTTTGTTTGTTCTCGGCTGCTGCCTTGAACGCCACTCTCACTCAACTCGCGTCGTGTGGCGGGTATATCAAAGAATCGCAATTTTCATGTCGCATTTTCTGCCAATTTTCCCCGCCATGCACACGTAACCCAAAAACCCTAAACTGCCATGGGTTGAAACTCACCCGCTGGTGAACTCGTTATTTAGATGTGCATATTTAGGAATACTCATCTGGTCGAAGGACAAACATGCACAGAGCAAGGAGCAACAGTAGCAACTTCACAATAAGAGTAACCGGGAAAGGCATCCTTAAGGGGAGATAAAATACGGGATGATGGAGATGATATACCTAAGGGATAGAAGAAGACATGAAATTACAGAGCAAGTTAAAAGCGGTTAGGTTACGCATATTCCAGTTTTACATTTCTGGA